TCTGGGAGGAAGATTTCCGCCTCAGGAAGAACTCTGTTTAGTGGGACTCGGGCAATAATCTTGCCAACTGCAGACAGCAGCGAGACCCCACGGTAGTTGCCATAGTCTGACTGGTCTCCCTTGTTCTTAGGAGATTTCCTCCTTTTCCAATATATTCTCCAGGAGAGAGTGGAGACGGCTGGTATGCAGAGGACCACCTGCTTTATACACCTCGGCTGGGATTCCATCTTGTGCTAATCTGGAAGTTTGTGTGTTACACATACTTTATTTTTAAACCAGTCGCTCTTTACATTGTGAAGTTTCCGCTGGGCCACAGCTTTCTTCTTGTGGAAGGTATTAGGTTGGTCCGAGACTGAGGGTTGTTCTGCAAGTCAGTTAAAGCAGTACGTTTATCAGTGATGAGTACATTGATTGCCGGGTCATTTATATAAAACCAATCCTAGAGTATTCTTTCGATCTGGCCGAGGGTCTCTCTGCAGGTTTTTGTCATGACAGTGTTGAGAATATCCCATTCGGTACTGGGAGTTGGGTTGTTCGTTATCTAGTTGTTTATCGGCCCACGTTCGAGCTGCTCACTGAAAGCATTATGCTACCGCTGGATCCTCCTGATGCGTAGTGTTAAACCTCCTTCTAGAGACTTACTGCCTTCGCCGTTTTAGGGCGACGTGAAGTGATAGCTTGGCTCTGACGAGCGGATGATCAGTGTCGCAGTAATCTGAGCCACGTATGGCACGGGTGATGAGGACATCTCGGAGATCTCTTTCTCTGACAATGATGTGGTCAATGAGATGCCAGTATTTGGATCGTGGATGTTGCCACGAACCCTTGAACTTGTCGGCCTGCCTAAATAAGGTATTGGTGATAGTGAGGTTGTGTGCAGCACATTTGCTGAGGAGGAGTAAGCCGTTGGGAATACACTTGCCAACTCCATTTCTCCCTATGGTTCCCTGCCAAATGTCAGCATCTCTGCCAATTCTGGCATTGAAGTCACCAAGGAGCACAACCTTATCTCCTCTGGGGATAGAGGTTAGCACTCTGTCGAGATCGGCATAAAACGCCTCCTTGATGTCATCCTCGGCATCCAGTGTTGGGGCGTATGCACTGATGAAAAAGGCATGGCGAGAGTGATTCAGTGGGACTCAGAGCGTCATGAGGCGCTCGTTGATCCCAATAGGCATTTCAGTTAGCCTGTGTAGGATGCGTTGGCGGATGGCAAAGCCAACTCCATAAATGCGGTTTCTCTCCGCAGCAGGCTTACCCTTCCAGAAGAAGGTATAGCCAGGCCCCAATCTGTGAGTTGACCCATGTCTGGGAGCCGGGACTTAATGGCTGCTGTGTCGATGTTATACTGTACCAAGCCAGCTCTTTTGCCGCAGGGGCAGTTCTTCTTTCAGGACGCTCATTTGTGCCAGTATCCAGAAGGGTCCTGACATTCCATGCAGCTACCATAAGAGGTTGTATAGTTTGTTTATGTTGGGGTCTGTAATTTTGATTGACCGCAAAAGGATGACCTTACTGGGTGCGGTTGCCCAGTCAGGTTGGGTTTTAAGGCAGGCTATGTTTAGGGCACCTTTTCTTGCCCCCTCCCCATGTGGGGTGAGCAGAGTGGCTCCTCGAAAGGGCTGCTCAGTCGCACAACCAGGACCGGATTGCACTGCTGCCTAGATCCCAGTGCATAAACGACCATCTTATCTGTGCCGCCCATGTGCAGAGCTGTGACTAGAGACTTCCGGCAGTCATCTCTGCCTGTCCCCGTCGCCACTCGTCTGTCACCATATGACTTTTGGTGGTTTAGGGGTTTTGATGATGATGAGCTAGATGATGGCTGTGCGCACACACAAACACACGCACACATGCTCGCACACATACAGACACCCCCTTCCCCACATACACACACAGACACTTTATTTCTGCCAAATGGATGACTTAGGGAACTTGTTCAATATTTCAAGAACACAACAGCAGTAGTAGTAGTAGTTACCTTGTGCTGGTGGTCGCGGAAACCCTGGCACTTCCTGGCACCGTCTTGACACTTATAACACTTCATGGCCTTTGACGACACCTTACTATACTTCATTACACATTTTATATCTTGTGTTAGTTTAAGACGCTTTGCAACACTATGACATAAATGATACTTTACAACACTTTGCAATACTGTAAAACATTAATGGCACTTTATTGACACTTTACGACATTTTGAGAGACTTAACATCACTTTATGGCACTTTTCGACACCGTATGACACTATTGTATGTTGCTTGGACACTTTATAACTATTCAAGACTTCGAGAATTTATAACACTTTTTGCCACTTTATGACACTTTGAAACTATATGGCCTTTACCTCACTTTAGAACACTGACACTTTAGGACAGTTCGTGACAGTTTAGGATACTTTAGTCCACTGAAAATTTAGGACACTTTAACACTTTAGGACAATTCATGACACTTTCGCAAACTTTGACACCTTCATGACACACCTCTGACAATTCATAGCAATTTTTCATTGTTTACCATAACTCACGACATGATACGACACTTATTTGACTTAATGGAACTTTATCAAACCTACTGGCACTTAAAAGCACTTTATAAAACTTTTGGATATTGCACGAATCTTTGTGACAACGTGACACTTTACGGCACTGTAACACCTTATACCACTTTACGACACTTAATACCACTCTTATGACACGTATCGGTGTTTTTAGGGTTTACAATTAATCTGTGACACTTATGTCTTCATGACACAAACAATTCACATCACTTATAAAACTTCATAACACAAACACTTCACAACACTTGTAAACACTTTAAGTTACTTACTAACACGTTATTATACATGTGATCACTTCACACTACTTATGAAAATTTAACGATACTTAAAATCACTTTTTGAAACTTATGGCCACTTTGAGACAGTATAACTACTTTACTATAACTACAAACACTTTATTACAGTGACAAACACTTACGATACTTTTCAGTCCTCATCAATTTTAATCTTTTCACCTCACCGGCCATTTGTTTGCCTAAAAGCCTTCGTGTACTGATAACTATTTTACGAACACTTATAAACACTTTGTGACACTTCCAAACACTTAACTTAACTAACGAACATTTTACAATACTTTGCAGTCCTCGTCAATTTCAGTCTCTTCACCTCACCGGCTATTTGTTTGTCTCTAAGCCTTCTTCGTGAACTTCCTTAACGGCACTGAAGCAGAGACAGAACTGCTGATATACTGTACCTTGTCTTGTTGATATTCTCGTAAATCCGAAACCGCGAAACGAGGCAGATTCAAAACTTGAGCGAACCGGCTACTGTATAACGGACTGAGTTTGATCGTGTTTTACTCATTCGTTTCTCCGCACATGTAGCTTTAGAGATCTTTGCCTGTATCTGTAAGACACATGACTATATGCGAATATTTTAGTTCGTATAATGGCTTGGTTTTAGGTGATTGGGTCAGATGTATCGAAAAGATGTTACGAAACCCTCGAAACACTGACGTCATCGATGTCTCAAAGTGTTCTCATTAAACTGGCGACAAAAAGTATCCAAAACTGTTTATATTGTTTAGCTCACTTTGGTTGCTTATTAAAAACAAACAAACAAGCAGGAGACAAACTGAAATTAGATAAATCTTGTCATGTCAACGAAACAAATAACGATATAAAACATTTTAATTTTTTTCTTATTCCAAAAGTCAACGCTTTCGAAAACGTGTGTTGTCTCAGGACGAACAACTCAGACCACTACTAAACCAAAGCTGCCAACAGACTCCACACATCTGTCTGGTATATTGTGTGGTTTAATATTTTAGGCAGACTACAGACAAACCAAAGAAAGTCACCTTAAACTTAATTCATGAAAGGTGTTTAAAGACAAGACCTTAGGCGGTTCTTAGTTAACTTGTGTAATTAATCAAACTATTAACTACTGTATGGGAGTTTGTAGCAGTAGTTTGCCTTGTGATTATCAATAGTATCAAATATTATGGGACCGGGAGGGTAGGGAAAAATTCCTCTCGTGGACAGAGGGGGGGGTGGATTGGCACTAAACTGTCCCTGAATCTCTGTGACATCCCCGACGCCGTGGGGAGTCATCCACCCCTACACATTCACCCTCACTCAGCCGCTCTGTTGTTCTTCATAGATATTGTGCCGATCATATATCCGTTAAATAACGTTGATCTTATCACTTTGTCATATTCTTCACTTTCATGTCAATATATGATTTGTTATTTACTGCAACATATGCGTGGTTTCATAAAGTAATTTGATATACAATATACTAAAATTAACTAAGTTACAGGTTACAAACATAACTTTATGGGTTTGTTACCTTGTGTTGTTTCGGCGCCACACATGGATACGGTCATGGTCTTTTCATCGGTGAATACTACTCTTGCTCAAAATTCCTTCTCCTTATAGACGTACTGTCGAGCTAAGGCGAGTCTCGAGACATGGTGAGCGCCTGTCAACCTCTCATTGGTGGAATATTTGGTGAGCAGTAGCCTGCTTCAAAGCGCCAACATCACGTTATATATTTTATCATGTTAGTAACTAAATCAATTGCATGGATAAAATTAAAGAAACAGAAATAGAAAATATATATTTCTTATTTATCCATGAATTTCGAGGCCGTCAAGCCTGTGTAGCTAAAACTAAAAGGAGAGTGGACTTACATAGGGCGTTCCACTCTTGTACACAAACACACACACACACACTGTTACGCCACACAGTCACAATCACACACACACAGTCCCACGCACACCTACCGGTATACTCATATATATCAAAGCGAACTATAGTTCCAAGGCTGACGTTAACAAAAAAACACTTAAAGAGTTTAATTATAGCTTCCTTAATGATGTTGTTCTCAAGAGTTGACAATTATTTCAGAAGGTGGTGATGTAAGAGTGGTGAGGCGGAGCTTGTGCTGGTTCAGGTATATAAGACTCCTGTTTGATACACTCCCTACCAGTCTCTACCACACCCATAAAGATGATTCCCAAGGTACGACACAGTACTGGAGAATCTCAGCACCTTCATGCCTCTTCCTGACTCTTAACATTGACCTTTATAACAGTACAATAGACGGAATAAAAAACTTTTCACTTCTTGTTCCCCACAAATATATATATATATATATATATATATATATATATATATATATATATATATATATATATATATATATATATATATATATATATATATATATATATATATATATATATATATATATATTTCTTTTTTTTAATATTAATGACTTTTTCTAGTCCAGAGCACAAAAAGAATCAATCATTTCATACCTTTTCGCAAATTTCTTCAGTAAAACAAATGACATAAACAGCTTTTCCTTATTGGTTATACAAACAAACTTTTCTTAATTAAACTTTACGGACTCCTCTTAAGACAAGTCAACATCTTCCCACCTTTTTGTAACTTTCAATGCCCAAAATATAATGATTTACTTTTGAGGACCGCATCAGACGGCGTTTACAAACAAGAACTCATAATCGAACTCTATTAACTTGTCTTGGAACCAAAACAGAAAAGATTGACACCCATCTGTAACTTTCCATACAAACAGCACTCTCTTGATTCAACTCCACTTATACCTACCCTTAGAAAGATAATATTGACAGCTTACTTTTCTTGACTATATATAACTCCCAGTTCGTCTTCTTTTCACCTGTCTAAGAACCTGAGACAATGTTGCTTGATCTCCACGGTGATAGTGTCGAGGAATTATTATTATTATTATTATTATTATTATTATTATTATTATTATTATTATTATACTATTCTAATTTTTATTATTATTATTAAGTTTTATAATTGCTATAAATTTAAGAATCACAACACTCCGTCTACCTCTCTTGTTCGTGTGACAAGCAATATTGTCTCATTACATATTAGTATTACTATATGTTCCCTCCCTCAACAGCTGGTGGTGCTAGCCGGCCTGGTGGCTGCCGCTCTTGCACATCCCAGACACTCACCCTCCTACACCACCCCCGCCCGGAGCTACGCCCCCGTGGTGAGTACCAACACGCTCTCCTGACTGTAGTGTTAAGCTGGATCTACCTGAGCGAGTCATATACTATTATCTACTGATTGTTTCATACATGAGAGGGCAGGAACTACTGGCTGCGGACTGTACACTCATAAATTTAGGCCTCGACCAGTTAGGAGCCAATCCTCAGTGTGTCACGTATCACTGCTTGGTTGAGATAACAGATTTTCCCTTTGTTGTCATGGTATTCAAGATCCAGCTGTGTTTATTTACGATTTTACAACAAGACGGTTTATCTACAATCAGGTCCTCCTGTGGTTGGGAAAGTACAGGGCAGTTTGTGTACATGACCTTCCACAGACCATCACAGCCGCATGCATCGTGAAATTCTTAAAATACCTTCTCTTGGTTTCCAGGGTCCAACTCAGTACGACTTCAACTTCGCCGTGAAGGACGGCCCCTTCGGTAACGACTTCGGACACCAGGAATCCCGTAACGGCTACAACACCCAAGGCTCTTACTATGTGCTGCTTCCCGACGGTCGCCTGCAAAAGGTGGATTACAAAGTCAACGGCGACTCTGGATACGTGGCCGAAGTGGGTTATCAGGGAGAAGCTAAGTATCCCGAATATCATCCTGCTCCTGGCTACAGTCCCGCCCCAAGCTATAAGCCTGGTCCTAATCATAAACCTGGCCCCAGTCATAGGCCTGGTCCCAGCAATACGCCTGGCTCCAGCTATAAGCATGGTCCCAACCATAAACCTGGCTCCAGTCATAGTCCTGGTTCCAGCAATACGCCTGGCTCCAGCTATAAACCTGGTCCCAGCTATGAGCCTGGTCCCAGCTATAAATTTGGGCCCAGCTACAGACCTGGCCTCATCCGTAAGCCTGGTCTCAGCTATAATCCTAGCCCTAGCTATAAGCCTGGTTCTAGCTATAACCCTCGCCCTTACCATAAGCCTGGTCCCAGCTATAAATTTGGGCCCAGCTACAGACCTGGCCTCAGCCGTAAGCCTGGTCTCAGCTACAAGCCCTCACCCAGCTACAGACCAGCCCAAAGCTATAAGCCGACACCCAGCAACAGACACGCCCTAGGCCATAAACCAGCCCCCAGCTATAGGCCTTCTCCCCATTACAAGTCCTCATCTAGTGTCAAGTCTAGCTTCAGCTACAGACCCTCCCCCAGCCATAAGCCCGCAGCAAGCTATGGCTAACATAACCACCTTACAAGAGAGTGAAGCTAAGCTTGCATAGCTAAACAACAATCCTTTATACATTATGAGGGAGGGAGATATTCAGCGACCAGTCTCTCAGGTACTACGTGATAATCTTTAACTGCCTATTGCTCTCCAAATGGACAGAAGACCTATTAGGCCTCAACCTAACCTAACCCAACCTAACCTAACCTAAACTAACCTAACCTAAACATTAAGATTACGATTTTTGAGAACTGCCACTCATGAAGTCTGAGTCTTATTAGGACTGGTGCCCCAATCCAACTGCATAGGTTAGGTCGTTAGTGTATATTAGCCGGAGTAGTTTCACTGGCAGAATGACCTCAGCATTAGATAGTAAGGAATTATTTATCTTTTCTGTGTTAAGAACTTCCCCGTTATAATAAGTTAATAAATCTTAAACGATGAAACCTTGAGTATCAGTAATCACTTCGCATACATACATACATACATACATACATACATACATACATACATACATATATGCATACATACATACATACATACATACATACATACATACATACATACATACATACATACATACATACATACATACATACTATCTCATCATCAACTTCACCATTATTACTATTATTATTATTATTATTATTATTACTATTATTATTACACAATATTTAGGTCAGTGACAAAGTGTAAACACTAATGACCTTTTCTCTTCTCATATTATTATTGGTGCCGTAACGTCGCTCTTAATGGAGTGGGTTTTTTTTCTTTGTAATAATGAATGTCACTATTGGTGTTGTGTCATGGCGCCGTCATCCGCGTGATAAGCATCTTTTATTACGTGTGTCATGTACACTAGTATATTAATGCTACTGTTACTATTACTACAACGACAATAACAACGAGAACAACAAATACCACCACTACTAATACTACTACTTTTTATCTACTACTACTACTGTACTACTACTACTACTACTACAATGGACTCCAGCCTCCCCCAATAACCACACCTTCGCCGCCATTATATTACCTTAAAATTAAATATCCTAATACATAAGTACCTACCCTAGCTGTGTTGAGTTAGTTGAGCCACAGATCTATGCGGCATTCACAGTGACTGTTGCCTCATAGTCTATATTTGCGACTACTATTACTACTACTTCTACTGATAATAATAATTGTCTATTTTATAAACCTTTTCTCACTTTCTACAGAATGGCCGGAATTATAATCACACACACACACACACACACACACCTATAAACCTTTCAACTTACCTATTGATAACACAAAGTAAAACAACAATAACGACAACTCTACTTCATTACAACTAACACCACAAAATTCTCACCAGAAGTAATAACGCTGTGTTGGAACCTCCCGAATCACGGTTGACTTCCATACAATCATTCACCACCACCTACCACCATCCCCACCACTACCCAACCCACCACCACCCCTCACTACCACTAACCAACCCACCAACACCCCTCACCACCACTACCCAACCCACCACCACCCCAACCCACCAACACCCCTCACCACCACTACCCAACCCACCATCACCCCTCATCACCAATCTACTCTCAGATACATCACATTTTCTGAACCTCTCTGCCCGCTGACGCAAGACCTCTACTCTGTCGTGCTTAGGTTAAAACTTGTTTATGTCAGGTAGATTAATTGTGCTTATGTGATGAAAGCATAGTATAATATATATTTGTGTTGGTTTAGTTCAGGTAGTAGTATGGCTATTGGGGGAAGCTGGAGGCCCTTTAAAAAAATAAATAAGAAAAAGTAATAGTAGTAATAGTAGTAGAAGCAGTAGTAATAGTAGTAGTAGTAGTAGTCAGACAGAACGACAGCACACCCAAAGTGATAAACTACAACAACTGATACTGCAATTGCCGGACTGGCTAACAATGTTACCGATAAGGGCAAAGGGTTTCAGTCTTAATAAACAAGAATTCACAGATGCCATTACTCTAAGGTACATATGGCCAGGAGAAGGTTTGCCCTTCCAATGCGAGTGTGGCTCATCCTACGACATTGACCATGCCATGGTGTGCAAGAAGGGGGCTTCATATGCATGAGGCATGACGAAGTTCGGGATCTCACAGCAAATATAATGAAGGAAATCTGCCGCAATGTCACGGTGGAACTGACCCTCCTTCCATTGGTCGGTGAGAACCTCCATCACAGGACTTCCAACACATCTAACGAAGCCCGTGTGGACATCAGCACTCGAGGATTCTGGACGCAGAGACAGCGAGCCTTCTTTGATGTCAGGATTTTCGAACCCATGGCCTCATGTCACCATAACCGGTCTCTTGCGACTGCACACAAGAGGAACGAGAACAACAAGATTAGGGCGTAAGCGAAGAGAATTCAGAATGTGGATCAAGGCAGCTTCACTCGTCCTTGTGCTCACAATCTCTGGCGGGATGGGACCAAGTGCAAGACACTTCTACGCAAGACTGGCCGAGGTGTTATCCGAACAGAAGCAGCAGCCAAGAAGACAAGTTGCAGCCTGAGTGAGATGTTGACTGTCCTTCTCTCTGCTTAGGTCTGCATTGCTTTGACTCAGGAGAAAGAGAGCATCGGCCCCAAAGCAAACAACAGTCGTAGATATTGACTATGAGGCAACAGTCACTAAATGCCGCATAGATCTGCGGCTTAACTAACTCAACACAGATGGGCAGCTACTTTTGTATAAGGATATTTAATTTTAAGGCAATCAAATGACGACGTAGGTGTGGCTGTTGGGGGAGGCTGGAGGATTCAATATTAAAACAAAAATAATAGTAATACATTGGTATTTTCTCTCTATGTCTCCCCCTCTTGTCTTTCTATGCCCTTCCATTCTACCTCTTTAATATTTCACCATCCTCTCTCTCTCTCTCTCTCTCTCTCTCTCTCTCTCTCTCTCTCTCTCTCTCTCTCTCTCTCTCAGCGTAAACAATAATATAATACTGTTCCTCATATTTTTTAGTGTATGAGAATTGTCATTACATATTGCAACCTGGAATTATTGTGCTGACTATAACCATTTAACACTTCGTTGCTTTCATGGATGAGTGCGCGAATGACAGGAGGAGAGAGAGAGAGAGAGAGAGAGAGAGAGAGAGAGAAAGAGAGAGAGAGAGAGAGAGAGAGAGAGTAAAATGAATCAAATGTAAAAGAGGAAAAATAGAAGGAGATAAATATAGATAGATAGATAGATACAGGCAGACAGACAGACAGACAGACTCTCATACTCCTGTACTCTACTTCTGAATAAGAACCTCAAAGTCACTTCATGTCCAGTAACCTGAACTAATCTTACTCACCTACCTTGAAAATTTCCCACACAGGTATTTAGTACAGTTTTTTATTTACTAATATAGTGCAGTGCTTCAAGAGGTGAGGTCTGTAAGCACGTTCAGTCTTTTTTTACGCTTGACGAAAATTTTTAAAAGTAATAACATATTTTTCTTTTTCTTTCTCTATTCGTAACCTAAACTTTTTTTTTTATACTCTTATGTCAGTTTTGTTCACACCGCGATCTTTATTTTTACAATCTTCAGTTATTTATTTTTTTCGTATGTTGATAAAGAAGATATACTTTAATCACTCACTATTTAAAGATAACTGTCATATTTTTTTTTATAAGTGTGAGATTATTGTCACAGAGAGACGGTAGGTTGGCCATATATAATGCCAGAAATCTTATAATAATGGTGATGGATTTGAGAATTATTGTCCATCATGTGACAGATTTTAAGACATTTATTCAAAGCGTATTTATTAGGGTGTAACAGCAGGCTACATAGCCATGGTCTTTAGAAATTAATTTTCAGGTTTTCTCTGTTTGGTGAGAGAGAGAAGACCTGTTGTCACTACCTTGTTGGCGTTGTCTTCATTGTCTGGTTAAGTTTTTGTGTACAGTTCAATAACCTCAGACAGACGTGTTTACATCAGCTGATCATGTTCTTGTGGTGCCCGACACTCAAGGTGGGGTGAAGGAGGAAGGTCATAGTAAAGTATCTGTTTTATCTTGTGATGTTCTTTTATTAATAGCTGCTATAAATGATGCCTAATGCTTTTATTAGCGGTAAGTTAATTTCTACCTAAAACCTATTCATATCCATTAACGACATTAGCCATAGCTAGGTGCTGGCGTGTAGGAGGGTGTCGGGGCGGGCCGGTAGGAAGGTGCTGGGGCAGGATGGTAGGCGGGGTATTTGGCCTCACCCTCGTAGGTCACCTCAGCCACGTAACCAGAGTCACCATCAACGTAATAAGTCACCTTCTGTAGGCGACCGTCGGGCAGCAGCACGGAGTAGGAACCCTGGGTGTTGTAGCCGTCACGAGCTTCCTGGTGACCGAAGTCATTACCGACGTTGTCCCTCACGACGTAGTTGAAGTCGTACTGAGCAGGACCCTGAAGAGCGACACACGATGATAAATCCTTAACATGGTGTCTTGTCTTAACATCCATATTGGTAAAATCTTAAACATTCAATTTCCAAGAGACAATTAATGTGTATACAAACTAACCACAGGTGCTGGAGCTGGGCGGCTGTAGCTAGGGCCATGGGCGAGGGCTGGGACGGGGGCTGGGTGACTATAGGCCTGGGGTTGAGGTCTAGCGAGGGTAGAGGCCACAAGGGCAGCCAGGAGGAAGATCTGTCATGGCAAAGTTCACGATAGGGATCAGTGTTAGTGTTCTTCTTACATGCGTATTCATAACAGACAAACTTTATGTTTTAATATTTATTCATATATTCATATTGAACACCATATCGCTTATTGACTCACTTATCACGTCAGGTATTTCTAACATGTAATTATAACTAATAAAATACAGACAAATTTAATTCCTTGGCTCTGCGTATTTTTATCATATTTACGTAGTACTGTATTCACGGTAGAAAAATATGAATACTGATTTCAGCATTAAGTTCCCCACCACAATGTAAATTTTACTCAGTAAGTTGTGTTGAAAATATCCTGTAATTGGTATCTACCGGACAACCAACACCTAATACCATGGCGCTCGCTTACTAACACTTGGAACTGGTGATACGAGTCTAAACGAATATGATTATTTCCAAGTAAACGTTGTCTCGCATCTCAGAAAGCAAATCTAAGTCTAATACTTCCACTGCAGGGAACACAACACTGTGATATAATAGACACACTTCAGTTAGCTCCCGGAGTCCAGATTATCAGCCTTCTGTTATTTTGTAGCTTAATTTACTCAGTTTAATACTTCTAATATATCCAATACAAAATAAAACATAAAGAATGAATCAGTAAGAGTCTATTATCATTTAATAATAAAAATATGCCACCTGAATACGTTTTAACACCTCAAGCTAGGAGGAAAACCTTAGCAAGAGAAAGAACTATGAGGAACCTATGTCTACTCAGTTACCAAACAGCAGACAGCTCACAGTACCTTGGGAGCCATGTTAGTGTTGCAGGTCGCTGTAGTGATTGATGGTAGAGGTAAGGCACACTGCCCTTATATACTGTAAACCAACTAGGCCACAGTTGTTTCGTCACTTAAATCGAATTGTAAAGGGAGTTGAGTGGTGGTAAGTCTGTGTGAATGTGTGGGGACCTAACTGACCACACCTAAGCTCTGGGAATTACAACCTCTTGGTAAGAACAATAAATATAATGATAGAAATACTACTACTACTACTACAACTACTAATACTACTACTAATATTTTTTTTTAAACGTGGCCTCCAGCCTCCCCCACTAGCCACACCTTCGCCGCCATTTTATTACCTTAAAATTAAATATCCTAATACATAAGTAGCTACCCTAGCTGTGTTGAGTTAGTTGAGCCCGTGGGGGTAAAATAAGGGTGGAGGCGGCATCCGCTCAGAAAAGTGAGGCACTCTGAGCTGCCAGTGGCCATATTGTGGTTGGCAAAAGAGTCTAGGTCACGGCTGTGTTAATGAACTTTCTCACTTGTTTACACATAAGCAAATGTATTTATGAATGAACAGTAGGACAATAATTCATGTAGACTAGCACTACGCACGTCGTTGATTGGTGAGGTGTGGATGCGGGCAGCGGGCTCTTCTCCAACCACAGTATGGCGGCAGCGTGGCTGGCTGGCTTCACCCCCGACAACTTCATTCCCTTATTCTACCTCCATGATTGAACCGCAAATCTATGCGGCATTCAGTGACTGTTGCCTCATAGTCAATACCTGTGACTACCACTACTACTACTACTACTACTACTACTTTTTACAGCAACTAATGATAATAACAATAACATTAACAACAACAAAAACAACAACAAAAACAACAACAATAATAATAATAATAATAATAATAACAATAATAATAATAATAATACTAATAATAACAATAACAATATGACAACAGTAAAAATAACTGATGTCATTTCTTCGCTCCTTCAGATAACTGCACAGTATAACACAGTGTGGCTGGAATCAAGAGTACACACACACACACACACACACACACACACACACACACACACACACACACACACACACACACACACACAATTCTCCCTTCACCTCTTCTCTTTCACTTAATCCTACAGTTGTAACATATTTGTTTTGTTATGGTACACAACTTTCCACAACAAGGCCCCGAATCTACTTGGCTTACCTGCCCCTGTTGCCTCATATGGGTTACAGCATCACACACGTCCTTCGCGAAATATTTCCTCCACATTGTTGTTTCCTGGATTTTTAGTGTATTCTTTCATGTCTTCCTTCCACCTCCTTCACGCCTTCCTTCCATCTCCTTCACGCCTTCCTTCCATCTCCTTCACGCCTTCCTTCCATCTCCTTCATGCCTTCCTTCCATCTCCTTCATGTCTGCCTTCAATCTCCTTCACACCTTCCTTCCAACTACTTCATGTCTTCCTTCCATCTCCTTCGCGCCTTCCTTCCATCTCCTTCACGCCTTCCTTCCATCTCCTTCATGCCTTCCTTCCATCTCCTTCATGCATCCTTCCTTCCATCTCCTTCACCTTCCTTCCATCCTTCATGTCTTCCTTCCATCTCCTTCACGCCTTCCTTCAATCTCCTTCATGCCTTCCTTCCATCTCCTTCATGCCTTCCTTCCATCTCCTTCATGCCTTCCTTCCATCTCCTTCACACCTTCCTTCCAACTACTTCATGTCTTCCTTCCATCTCCTTCACGCCTTCCTTCCATCTCCTTCATGCCTTCCTTCCATCTCCTTCATGCCTTCCTTCCATCTCCTTCATGCCTTCCTTCCATCTCCTTCACACCTTCCTTCCAACTACTTCATGTCTTCCTTCCATCTTCACGCCTTCCTTCATGCCTTCCTTCCATCTCCTTCATGCCTTCCCCATCTCCTTCACGCCTTCCTTCCATCTCCTTCATGCCTTCCTTCCATCTCCTTCATCTCCTTCACCTTCCTTCCATCTCCTTCACGCCTTCCTTCCATCTCCTTCATGCCTTTCCTTCCATCTCCTTCACGTCTTCCTTCCATCTCCTTCACGCCTTCCTTCCATCTCCTTCACGCCTTCCTTCCATCTCCTTCATGCCTTCCTTCCATCTCCTTCATGCCTTCCTTCCATCTCCTTCACACCTTCCTTCCAACTACTTCATATCTTCCTTCTATCTCCTTCATGTCTGCCTCCAATCTCCTTCATGCTTTCCTTCCATTTCCTTCATGCCTTCCTTCCATCCTACCTTCCTTCCATCTTCTTCATTCCTTTCTTCCATCTTCATCATTCCTTCCTTCCATCTCCTTGAGCTTTCATTCTTTTTATCAATATTTTACGTCCATATGTTGCACCTGCCCAACTCTTCAATCAATTTCACCTGTCCTCATCATTGTCTTATTCTTTATTTACCCAGCGTATTTCTCTCACATACGTCATATCTATCTCTTCTAATACTCTCCTCCTCCTCCTCCTCCTCCTCCTCTTTCTTGCAAGTCGGGTCCATCCTCCATACTAATGCCATAATGTGGGGTCAATAATATCTTGCAACAACGTTATTTTCATCTCCCCTTGACACGTTTTGCTCCACTTATCTCTCTCTCTCTCTCTCTCTCTCTATATATATATATATATATATATATATATATATATATATATATATATATATATATATATATATATATATATATATATTTCATGTAAATCCACAATGAAAACGTGGATAAGATAAATCTTGATAAAATCACACGGGAAAATGGTTGCCTCTGAAGATGTCTTGAATAAAGACGAAAGCTAAGGTACTCCGTTGTTTCCATTTTCCCGTGTGATTTTTATATATATATATATATATATATATATATATATATATATATATATATATATATATATATATATATATATATATATATGCAAGTAAATCACTGTAGGTGCATCTAGGTATATGCTGATTTCCCAAGCGCTTTAGTGTAATTCACATTTCAGGGGTGAGTACAGACTAGTCTGTACTCACCCCTGAAGATGTGAATTACACGAAAGCGCTTGGGAACTTCGTGTTTTCTTCTTTCCTTGTGGTTATCAGCATATATATATATATATATATATATATATATATATATATATATATATATATATATATATATATATATATATATATATATATATATATATATATATATATATATATATATATATACTGTATATGTCAATCTATCCGCAGAAAATTACATCATTTAAAAAAAATCACCAAGATTAGTGAAATTACTGAACACGAAACGTGACTTGAGGCGAAACGATGAAACAGCAAACAGGATCGGCTTTACAGAAAACGGGTAGCGAGTTGAGAAACAGAGAGCATGGGAGGATGACGATATTTCATATACTGTACTGTTATAGACTAGTGAGTGACTGCTTTGATAAAGCTTATTAGGAAGAGATAGAAAGGGTTTTTGGCCGTCAGAAAGTGGAAATGAGGACCACCTGATTATATATGTCACCACAGCTTATTTGATCTGATGTTTGAACACCATATTGTTTCCTGGGGGTTTATGTTAAATTATGTTTTTTAGGTTTGATCACAGTGTGTTAGGCATTAATGAAAGAGATATCAGAATTTTAAATAATATTTACTGGCAGCAGGAAGCTGCATAGTTAGTAAATAATGAACTTACAATCGGTTCACAGTAAGACAGAGAGCAAGGTAAGGCTGTGTTGTATCTCCATTGTATAATATATATTCAGAGTTCTTAATGAGAGAAGTTATAAGTGATAATGAAGGACTAAAAGATAATGGTAAAGTAATATTCAAATATTATACGCTATGCAGATGGTACTGTTCTTATCACGGATACTGAAGATGCCTTACAAAAACTCGTTAACAAATTAGTGGAAAAAGTTGAAACATATGGTTTAAGGTTAATGCTGTAGAGACGAAAGTAATTTGGAAATTAATTCCAAAATAAAAATTATGATTGGCAACAGGGAACTTAAACAAGTGGAAAATTTTGTGTATTTAGGAAGTAACATTAGCTGTGATGGTAGACGTGTGGAAGAAATCAGAACAAGAATAGGTCAAGCAAAAACAGCATTAAATAATCTAAAAATCTTAATGAAAAGGGACAATAACTTCAATTTGTGAAAAAAATTCTGTTGAAAGGGTTAATATGGCAAGGACTGATATATGAGTAGGAAGTGTGGAAACTTTCAGTAGACACCAGAGAGTTGAAGACCTTTGGACTGTAGTGTTATGGGCGAATGTTAAGAAGATACACCGAAAGGCAAACAAATGAAGAAGTAGTAAGGTTAGCAAAAACTGCAAGAGAAATATGAACATGAAAAATGAGATACTTTGATCATATAATTAGGAATGAGGGGATAATAAGCGAAATATTAATGGACAAAGTTGAGGGTAGGAAGGCCAGGGGAAGGCAGAGACTGGGGTAGATACAAAACCTTAGAGGATTGGTAAAAACAGCCCGAGAACGTTTAGAGTGGAGGACTGTGGTGGCCAACCCTCAGATATGAGAACGGTACTCTGATGTTAGGTTAGGATTGACTTAGATTAGCGTTAGATTAGGTTACTTGAGCATTAGGTTAGCGTTAGGTTAAGTTAGGTGAGATGAGATTGGGTTAGGTTAGCTTTGGCATAAGAGTGGTGAACCTGAATAAATAAGCTGGGAGGCTAATCATCTGGGGATTGTAAAATAATCAAAGGAATCATGAATGATAAACTATTCTAACATCCATAAGATAAATGTGTAATCAATGTACATATTACTGTTACACATACTGTAGACTCTCACAAACTGACGTAAGTACAGTCGGGGTCAAAAGTCTTGATCACTTAGCAATATCTGGCATCTACTTCTGAGTTATATGATTGGGATATACTAATAACACTACTTGTCATCACATATTATGAATGAACCACAAAATGGGATAAAACTCTCCTAATACCTAAGATCTTCAGGTACTTACATGCCAGATACTGTCAAGTGTTCAAGACTTTTGACCCCGACTGTACATACGTATAAACAACTAAAAATCCT